AACTAACGAACAAAAGTGAGACAGTGTCAAGTGAGACATTAGGAAAAAGAAAGATCTGTTTACAATAGAGAAAAGATAAAGATCCGAAATTTAGTCGCCCTCTTACTGAATGGGACAGCGGATGCACTACTGACGCCCTGCCTGCAGGGGCATCTCTGAAAATTTAAACCCGTTCCCCTTGATTGACATGTAAAAATACATAAAAAGATCATTTGCCTGGGAGAACACACTTGTGTATACAAGTATACATAGATATTTTGTAAGGTCTGTGAAGTAGGTAACACTTAGCTATTCCTGCGAAGATGTCAAAGGATGAACTTCAAGCTCACACCACTTCTTACATAAATTAAATATATTAGAATATAAATGTTGCAATATCATTTACTTCAGTAATGAAGCATTTTGAACTTTTGGTGTGACTTAGTGGTACAGCATGGAAGTTAATGAATAGAAGATTTGCCGGAGTCAGTCTACAATAGCTTCTGATTTTAGCGTCTTAATTTATCCATGGTTAAGAAATATGGAGAAAAATGCTTAAAGTGTACAACTGATTGCAATAACGATGTTATGTCTATCAATTATTTAACAAATTTTTATGGAATATCTAATTTCAAACTCCGTCTAAACGATACAATAAGAAATTCTCTATTGGACTTATATAAGACTTCTGTTCTCTGTAATTTTGAGTTGCTTGTTGTCCAGTAAACTAAGTCTTCCAAACTGTTCTCTTAACTTGTGTGTGTTTTCTGGTCACGGCCATTTTGTAACAAAAACACCCATCAACGTCCATCAAATCGAGGTCACTTGTCAAATTAGCATGAACAAATACATGAATTGTCATAATTTATTAAATGTGAAAATATTTATAACGTATCATTAACGTGGTCTTAAAGGCTCAATATGACTCGTGTGCTTAACATTTAACGGTATTTTGATATAAAGCGAGCGTTGTTCACAGACAAGTTGTTTTGTATGCACGGAGGCCACTAATTTGTTAAAACGCATTACGATCCCGTCTGTTTGAGAGCACCTTGCAACATTTATGAGATCTAGACTGGCCGTTAGCCTCATCAGGGGACACAATGTCATTGTTATATTAACAGAAGTCAGTATCCGTCGGATGTTGTTCCGGTAGCCTTGAAAATAAATAGCACGTAAGATAATAATGACGTTAGTTTATTCCGGAGCTTGATGAAATCAGCAAGAATTATTTTAATACCGGAAGTAATTTGACGCTCCCTAACACCAAACAAGTCAATAATGATGTGTTTGTTCTCGTTTTGTCGAACACACATTTAATAATCAAAGGCATGTCAAGTGCTTTAATGTCGCCTGTAATTGTTCCAGCCTCTTCATACATGCACTTTGACTCGTTAAATTCAAACTGTTGACTCCAGGAGGACGCTCTGTCTGGTCATCGTCGAGCAATCTTCTCTAGTTCCATAATAAATTTCAAAATCAATTCTTAAAAAAAACCTCATAGTTTACTAATATTTGCCAAAATGTGTAACGGCGTCGAATACAGGTCCTCGGATATCTTTAACAAACGCTTTGTCTGGTTTCCAGCGATAACGGCCGAGTCTTGCTCACAAAGTATGTGGTTTCGTTCTCCTCTGTTTGATAAACTGTTATATGCCCGTGAAAAATTCACCTTGTGAGATTCTAACACCGACCGATTACCTCTGTCAGCTATAAATATTTAGCTATACATAAATCTGTATATGTTAATGAGCCACTGATTTGACACGAGCCGCCCCAAGGCTGCGGCTCCTCAGTTTTGTTTACACTGTTCTACTTTTTCTGGAAATGCTGGTCCATGCTTGAGGAAATGTATATAAACACATGTGCTATTGTACAACGGACGAAAGGGTTTCCATAGATACGCACATTCCCTAAGTGCAACAGAGACATTACTACTGTGTATACAAGCTAGTCACTTTCCAGCCTCAGCAATATACGTACGCACTGCTCCAGAACAACATGGCATAATTATCAATTTAAAAATCTCCAGTAGTATCAAAGCGTTTGATGATAAACTAGAAGAAATTGTAGGCAAATCTGAAAAAATTGCACGGACACGTTAGAGTTGTTTCCCTTGTTACTGGACAGAATTCTGATGAGTTGTTTCCCTTGTACCACCACAGAATGTTTAGTGTGAGCTCTGCATTCTTAAACACACATTTCAATCACAGGAAAATTAAACAAAATAAAATAGATAAATTTAAAAAATAAAAAAAAAAAAAAAACAAAAAAACAGTAAACAAGAGATTCCAGAGCAACTTGGCGCTCACTATTGTTTGATATTTCCCTCTTTTGTTTTCTTTCTTCTGTTATTACGTTTAATAAGAAATAGATAAAGATTATCTTTAATTATCAAATCTAAGATTATGTTTCCTTGTCAGCTCCAAAATCAAACGTGAACAACTAGGGACCATAGGCATATAAAATTTGTGAAAGAACCAACCAGTATTTTTCACGATATATCAAAATCCAAGATGGCCACCTGTCAGCCATTTGTTTTTTTGACCAGTAGCTCAATCAGAAAAGACACAACAATGGACAAAGGCAAACCTAAACATGAAATTAGAGAAAGATCTATTACGTACTTCACAAAAAGCATTGATAACAAACTTTAATTGTCAATATCCCAGCTTACTGCGTGTCAGTATTTTCTTTTCTTCGGGTTATTCCCAAAATCAAAAGGACACAAGTAGGGACTAAGTGGAATTTAGATACGAAATTTCAGGAAGATCCCTATTGATTAAGAAACAAATTCTACAAAATATAATTGAAATTTTGTTTTCTGATTGAAATCAAAAGGGCACAAAAACGGAGCTATAGAAACCTACATATGAAATTTGAGAAAGGTTCACTCTACACACCTAGAGAAATAGAAATAACGAACCATTGTCAAAATCCAGAATGGCTACTTGCCAGCCATTTTGTTTTTTTTCTAGTCAGTTTTAAATTCAAAAGGACACAACGAAGGAAACCAGAATATCAAATCTGAGAAAGATCCATCAAATACTTGTGTCTCTAGAATATTCAATGAATGTAAAAGTCCGTCTTATACTCTTATTACCTCTTAGTGACCCCTGAGTTTCACATCAAAGGGGGATAAACTAGCAGACAAAGACAAGGAGTACGAATCGTGACTGATGTCCCTACAGTCCTGAGGACTGTACGAATCGTGACTGATGTCCCTACAGCCACGAGGAGTAAGAATTGTTACCGACCGTCCCCCATTCTCTCCCCAAACAGCCCTTTGGAGTGAAAATGACACCAAATTCGAGAGAATAGATAACTTATGTGTATATGTTTCATCAGTGGACATTTAAATTTCTAAAACCTTAAAGGATTAAAAACAATACCAAACTATTAGCCTGAGTATCATATGACCCCAACATCAGAAACAGACTCGTAAGTTTTGGTTACGTCAAAACGTCAGTTTTTCATTAAAAAAATACTTTTCCGTGTCTCGCTCGGCATCATATATTGTAAATCAAAACGTCTAACATCTGGTGTTGGGGCTTGGTGAAACCCGGGTAAATCCTCAATTCGAAACCATGTCTATATATATTTTATCGAACCCAAACCAGAAGAGGCCCATTGCGATGCAGCCCTTTATATGAAATAGTAATAAAACAGTTTTCAGAGCGGTTAGTGTTATACATATGGGGATTACCAGTTCCTTTCACAGACACTAACACGAGGAGAAATTTACCTGATAAAATTGACCAAACAAGGCTAGGTTTGTGTAGCTATATATGAAACACATTGCTGCACTATGCTAAGTTTATCTTAAAGTGTTTGTACGAATGCCTGTTTATCCGACATCTGAGATGGAGGAAAACAATTCTATCGTTTCTCTGCCGTTTAAACCTTAAAGTCGGTAGTGACTGATTAACACCACTGGTTGGGTGCTTGTACAATGATAAGTCGATATTCTCACCGTTTTCACGATTTGAAATGGAATGTTTTATTTTCTGACCTAAAAATAAAACCATGGATATAAAACAGACGAATTTTTAAATATTTTTGTCCAAATAAGGAACATGTTGTTTTTCTTCTGTTTGATAAAATTTACTCAATAAAGCTGACTCCTAGTAGTGGGTGTACCCTAGGGAGTGATCGATATGAGGATCGGTCGCGGATACGAAGGACATACACACATATATATATATGTATTATGAGGTCTGTATATTGTGTATGGCGTTCTGAAATATACTTTTGTAAGTATTTGTTATTTATGTAAAGGAATAATATCTAAATACTTAATTATTGAAATGAAAAATTGATTTTTAAATGATAAAAATTATTATATAGAAAGAATATCACTGTTGTAGGTTTCTTTCTCCCCGAATTTATAATAATATCTAGAATTTCATCCTTTCTTTACAATATATCAATTATTTGTTTACATGTGTTGGCTTTGATGTCGGTATAATAGATGCTCTTTAGTTTCTTGCTTTATTCGTTTTCAAACATGTAAAAAGATTTTGTTTTATTTTTCACAACTCACTGTTTTTTAATGTTTATACCCACATTTCAGACATATCAGCCGGAATATTGATATAGCTTAGTGGTAAAGCGTCTCAATTGCCTCACCCCCGGGATGCCAATCTCAAGTGGTGCCCTGGGGTGGCCTCGGAGTTATTGGTCTCCGCCCCCACGAATAAAAACCTCCAGAAAGAAGGTGTACCCCCATGCCATTGACTGGGCGAGGCAAAGGGCAGATGAGCTGAAACAGAGAAGACAAGACCGAGCTCGTAGGAGGGATAAGGTATGGAAGGCCTAGACAAGGCCGAACTCGCAGGAGGGATCAGGTATGGAAGGCCTAGACAAGGCCGAGCTCGTAGGAGGGATAAGGTATGGAAGGCCTAGACAAGGCCGAGCTCGTAGGAAGGATAAGGTGTGGAAGGCCTGGACAAGGCCGAGCTCGTTGCAGGGATAAGGTATGAAAGGCCTGGACAAGGCCGAGCTCGTAGGAGGGATAAGGTATGGAAGGCCTAGACAAGGCCGAGCTCGTAGGAAGGATAAGGTATGGAAGGCCTGGACAAGGCCGAGCTCGAGCTCGTAGGAAGGATAAGGAAGGCCCTCCCCCGAGTCAAGGCCGAGCTCGTAGGAAGGATAAGGTATGGAAGGCCTACACAAGGCCCCTCCCCGTAGAAATAAGTCCCTAGTTATGGAAGGCCTGGACAAGGCCGAGCTCGTAGGACGGATAAGTTATGGAAGGCCTAGACAAGGCCGAGCCCGTAGTAAGGATAAGTTATGGAAAGACCCGGAAGTAAAATTCCTCCCCTAGAAACATTGTCACATGTCCCTAGTTATACTACACAAGCCCCTCCCCCTAGAAACATTGTCACATGTCCCTAGTTATACTACACATGCCCCTCTCTCCTAGAAACATTGTCACATGTCCCTAGTTATACTACACAAGCCCCCTCCCCTAGAAACATTGTCACATGTCCCTAGTTATACTACACACGCCCCCTCCCCTAGAAACATTGTCACATGTCCCTAGTTATACTACACAAGCCCCTCTCTCCTAGAAACATTGTCACTTGTCCCTAGTTATACTACACAAGCCCCTCCCCCAGAAACATTGTCACATGTCCCTAGTTATACTACACAATCCCCCTCCCCTAGAAACATTGTCACATGTCCCTAGTTATACTACACAATCCCCCTCCCCCAGAAACATTGTCACATGTCCCTAGTTATACTACACAAGCCCCTCCCAGAAACATTGTCACTTGTCCCTAGTTATACTACACAATCCCCCTCCCCCTAGAAACATTGTCACACGTCCCTAGTTATACTACACAATCCCCCTCCCCTAGAAACATTGTCACATGTCCCTAGTTATACTACACAATCCCCCTCCCCCTAGAAACATTGTCACATGTCCCTAGTTATACTACACAAGCCCTTCTTCCCTAGAAACATTGTCACATGTCCCTAGTTATACTACACAATCCCCCTCCCCCTAGAAACATTGTCACATGTCCCTAGTTATACTACACAAGCCCCTCTCTCCTAGAAACATTGTCACATGTCCCTAGTTATACTACACAAGCCCCTCTCTCCTAGAAACATTGTCACATGTCCCTAGTTATACTACACAAGCCCCTCTCCCCTAGAAACATTGTCACATGTCCCTAGTTATACTACACACGCCCCCTCCCCTAGAAACATTGTCACATGTCCCTAGTTATACTACACAAGCCCCTCTCTCCCCATTGTCACATGAAACATTGTCACATGTCCCTAGTTATACTACACAATCCCCCTCCCCTAGAAACATTGTCACATGTCCCTAGTTATACTACACAAGCCCCTCCCCTAGAAACATTGTCACATGTCCCTAGTTATACTACACAATCCCCCTCCCCTAGAAACATTGTCACATGTCCCTAGTTATACTACACAAGCCCTTCTTCCCTAGAAACATTGTCACATGTCCCTAGTTATACTACACAATCCCCCTCCCCCTTGTCACATGTCCCTAGAACACATTGTCACATGTCCCTAGTTATACTACACACGCCCCTCCCCTAGAAACATTGTCACATGTCCCTAGTTATACTACACAATCCCCCTCCCCCTAGAAACATTGTCACATGTCCCTAGTTATACTACACAACCCTCCTCCCCTAGAAACATTGTCACTTGTCCCTAGTTATACTACACAACCCTCCTCCCCTAGAAACATTGTCACATGTCCCTAGTTATACTACACAAGCCCCTCTCTCCTAGAAACATTGTCACATGTCCCTAGTTATACTACACAAGCCCCTCTCTCCTAGAAACATTGTCACATGTCCCTAGTTATACTACACAAGCCCTTCTTCCCTAGAAACATTGTCACATGTCCCTAGTTATACTACACAATCCCCCTCCCCCTAGAAACATTGTCACATGTCCCTAGTTATACTACACAAGCCCCTCCCCTAGAAACATTGTCACATGTCCCTAGTTATACTACACATGCCCCCTCCCCTAGAAACATTGTCACATGTCCCTAGTTATACTACACAATCCCCCTCCCCCTAGAAACATTGTCACATGTCCCTAGTTATACTACACACGCCCCTCTTCCCTAGAAACATTGTCACTTGTCCCTAGTTATACTACACAAGCCCCCTCCCCTAGAAACATTGTCACATGTCCCTAGTTATACTACACAACCCCCCTCCCCTAGAAACATTGTCACATGTCCCTAGTTATACTACACAATCCCTTCTTCCCTAGAAACATTGTCACATGTCCCTAGTTATACTACACAATCCCCCTCCCCCTAGAAACATTGTCACATGTCCCTAGTTATACTACACACAACCCACCTCCCCTAGAAACATTGTCACATGTCCCTAGTTATACTACACAATCCCCCTCCCCTAGAAACATTGTCACATGTCCCTAGTTATACTACACAAGCCCTTCTTCCCTAGAAACATTGTCACATGTCCCTAGTTATACTACACACGCCCCCTCCCCCTAGAAACATTGTCACATGTCCCTAGTTATACTACACAAGCCCCTCTCTCCTAGAAACATTGTCACATGTCCCTAGTTATACTACACAAGCCCCCTCCCCCTAGAAACATTGTCACATGTCCCTAGTAGAAACATTGTCACATGTCCCTAGTTATACTACACAACACCCCCTCCCCCTAGAAACATTGTCACATGTCCCTAGTTATACTACACAACATGTCCCTAGTTATACTCCCCCCTAGAAACATTGTCACATGTCACTAGTTATACTACACAACCCTCCCCTAGAAACATTGTCACATGTCCCTAGTTATACTACACACGCCCCCTCCCCTAGAAACATTGTCACATGTCCCTAGTTATACTACACACGCCCCCTCCCCTAGAAACATTGTCACATGTCCCTAGTTATACTACACAAGCCCCTCCCCCTAGAAACATTGTCACATGTCCCTAGTTATACTACACAAGCCCCCTCCCCCTAGAAACATTGTCACTTGTCCCTAGTTATACTACACACGCCCCCTCCCCTAGAAACATTGTCACATGTCCCTAGTTATACTACACAAGCCCCCCTAGAAACATTGTCACATGTCCCTAGTTATACTACACAATCCCCCTCCCCCTAGAAACATTGTCACATGTCCCTAGTTATACTACACAATCCCCCTCCCCTAGAAACATTGTCACATGACCCTAGTTATACTACACAAGCCCCCTCCCCTAGAAACATTGTCACATGTCCCCTCTCCCCCTAGAAACATTGTCACATGTCATTATACTACACAAGCCCCTCCCCTAGAAACATTGTCACATGTCCCTAGTTATACTACACAAGCCCCTCTCACCTAGAAACATTGTCACATGTCCCTAGTTATACTACACAAGCCCCCTCCCCTAGAAACATTGTCACATGTCCCTAGTTATACTACACAAGCCCCCTCCCCTAGAAACATTGTCACATGTCCCTAGTTATACTACACAAGCCCCTCTCCCCCTAGAAATATTGTCACTTGTCCCTAGTTATACTACACAAGCCCCTCTCTCCTAGAAACATTGTCACATGTCCCTAGTTATACTACACAAGCCCCCTCCCCTAGAAACATTGTCACATGTCACTAGTTATACTACACAATGCCCCTCCCCCAGAAACATTGTCACATGTCCCTAGTTATACTACACAAGCCCCTCTCTCCTAGAAACATTGTCACATGTCCCTAGTTATACTACACATGCCCCTCTCTCCTAGAAACATTGTCACATGTCCCTAGTTATACTACACATGCCCCTCTCTCCTAGAAACATTGTCACATGTCCCTAGTTATACTACACACATTGTCACATGTCCCTCCCTACAAACATTGTCACATGTCCCTATATTTTCACTTATACTACACAATAATATTGCCCCTAAACAAACATTGTCATATATCCCTAGTATATATCAGATACACAATCCCCCTCCCCTTGAAAATAATTTTGTCACATGTCCCTAGAAACATTGTCACATTCCCTAGTTATACACACAACCCCCTGTTTGTCACATGTCCCTAGTTATACTACACAATCCCCCTCCCCCTAGAAACATTGTAAAATGTCCCTAGTTATACTACACACGCCCCTCACATGTCCCTCAGAAACATTGTCACATGTCCCTAGTTATACTACACAATCCCCCTCCCACTTGAAGAATACATTGTCACATGTCCCTAGTTTTGTCGCTTAACAAACTTTACACGTTGAAGAATATTTTGCTTGAGTCTATAACAAACTGTACACGTTGAAGAATATTTTGCTTGTGTATGTAACAAACTTTACACGCAGAAGAATATTGAGCTTGTGTCTATAACAAACTTTACACGTAGAAGAATATTTTTGCTTGTGTATATAACAAACTTTACACGTTGAAGAATATTTTTACTTGTGTATGTAACAAACTTTACACGCAGAAGAATATTGAGCTTGTGTCTATAACAAACTTTACACGTAGAAGAATATTTTGCTTGTGTATATAACAAACTTTACACGCAGAAGAATATTGAGCTTGTGTCTATAACAAACTTTACACGTTGAAGGATATTTTTGCTTGTGTCTATAACAAACTGTACACGTTGAAGGTGTATATTTTTGCTTGTGTGCTATAACAAACTTTACACGTTGAAGAATATTTTTGCTTGTGTATATAACAAACTTTACACGTTGAAGAATACTATAACAAACTGTACACGTTGAAGAATATTTTGCTTGTGTCTATAACAAACTTTACACGTTGAAGAATATTTTGCTTGTGTCTATAACAAACTTTACACGTTGAAGAATATTTTGCTTGTGTCTATAACAAACTTTACACGTTGAAGAATATTTTGCTTGTGTCTATAACAAACTTTACACGTTGAAGAATATTTTGCTTGTGTATATAACAAACTTTACACGTTGAAGAATATTTTGCTTGTGTATATAACAAACTTTACACGTTGAAGAATATTTTGCTTGTGTCTATAACAAACTGTACACGCAGAAGAATATTTAGCTTGTGTATATAACAAACTTAAGAATATATTTTGCTTGTGTCTATAACAAACTGTACACGTTGAAGAATATTTTGCTTGTGTCTATAACAAACTGTACACGTTGA